CCCCAAAACCCCAAAACCCCAAAACCCCATACAGCAAATATCGCTCACATTACAGAGCATAAAAATATAAAATAAGGGGAATATTTGACTTATATAAATAATTGTAATAGCTCTTAATGGAAGTCCTTACAAAACACAATTAAAAGAGGAAATAGTCAATTAGACCAGTAAAGTATACCTCGCCTGCATAAATTTATGGCTAACCATAACAAATCTCACTGAATTAACATATAAATTAATACTACCACTCAAATAGCTAAGCCATGGGGAGAGGAGAAAGTTGAGATAACTAATTACAAAATAATAACATTTAAAGCCAGACCTATACAAATATTAATAATGATAAAATGAATGCTACTGCCTATAATAAAAAGGTTTTAACCGATTTTGATAATCTATTGTAACACTATCCTGCTTATATTAACAGTCAAAAACAAGCTAATGTATTTTAAAGAAGGAGAAGTCAATCGAAAAATTCGAAAGGACCAGATTTCACTTCTGATAGTCTGCATAATATCACAAGTTATCAAAATCATCTCGAAGATATCAATCAGGCTCGAGATAGGATGAATATGCATAACTTTAAAAATAGTTATCCAGTTATAAGCAGTATTAACCTGCCATCTAAGAAGGGAAGTTCGAAACATTGATCATATACATCCTAATAAAATAGTTCATATTCATAGCCTAGCAGTAACACTCCTGTAAGAAATAATACTATGGAAAAAATTTATGCTAACAACTCTTAAAACTAATTAGAACTATAGTAGCATATAAATAATTGATCACTTGTAATGAGGTATCAGAACATAATCCAAACACAGGAGAAAGATCATCAAGTAGTTGAGACAATTTTAACAAATAAAGAGAGAGAATTACTTTAAAGAGCCTAGCCAAAAAATTAAAGACATTTAAAGCCAATTTAAGATCATCAAGATTATTACAGCTCTTTAATAGAGATGTCTCCTCAAAATAATATAACACCAAAGAGATTACAAAATCTAGCCAAAAAAGTAAAATAGGACAGAAATTTTAGCAATATTTACTTTAATAGAAGCAAAACACCAAAGGATTAATTTGAAATTAGAAGTCAAAGGTAAATTTAAAAAAGCAGAGAAGTATCGCTCAAATAAGATGATGAGACATAAAACTAAAATGACGAAAAATCAAATAATAATTAATAATTAAAAAAGTAATAATAAATGGAACCTAATTTCTACAATTAGAATAATCACTCTCCCTCTCCATTTAGAAGTAAGCATAAATCTAACTTGCTCGTTAATAACCACTACATACCTGCAAAACCTTAATAGTAATAATCTGTGTATTCAATGCTCTAAAAGAAGAGAACTATGGGAGGAGGTGGATTTACTTCTTAAGGTAATAGATAGGCTCTTAATAAAACCTCAAAACCTATTGGACAGAGTGCTTTACTCAATCATACAAACATGTATAAAAGCTCGCCTGACAAAAAATCTTAAAATTCCCCAGAAGATTAGGAGGAAAAAAAGGAAAGTAGATACAGCAGTAATGCTCTTTCTTAATTCAGTATGATTGATGGGAAAAATAGTGTTCTCTCAGATATTAAACAAAAAAAGGAAATCATCTATTGTAAACCTGGTGTGAAGATAGGTTAAGGGAAATATCATGCAATAGAGTTGATTATCTACCAAAATGATCTATATGCTCTCAAGAAAATTCCTAAGTCCTCAATTGATAAGGCTAAAAGAATCGAACATCTTAAAAATGAAAAGAATATAAACTACTTGCTAAAAGACTAATTCAGATCAAGTAGTGTTAAATGGTTTGTAAGCCTAGAGGAGACCTTTGTTGATGCTGACTCAATAAATTTTATTTTTGAATATCTACCAGGCGCAGACTTATTCTGGGTTATTTAAAATGAAATGAACCTCTTTCTGGGAAAATAAAAGTAAACTGGTTAATCAAGAGAGTGGATAAAGTTTTATGCAGCAGAAATATTAATAGCATTAGAAATCTTGCACAAATAGAACATAATATATAGAGATTTAAAGCCTGAGAATGTAATGGTAGACAAAGATGGACACATCAAATTAATAGATTTTGGTTTTGCTAAACGACTCAGTTCTTCATCAAAGCATAGGACTAACACAAACTGTGGTACTTTAGGGTATTCAGCTCCGGAAGTTATAATGGGAACCAACTAAGGTTATTCCTTTCCATCTGACATATGGTCATTTGGTATTTTATTATGTGAGTTAATTCAAGGATCCCTTCCTTTTGAAAATAAAGAAGATCCACAGATGATTGAATAGTAAACTATGAAAGGAGAATTTGTAATGCCTCGTGAAGCAGATTCAACTGCAAGGGATTTAATCACCTAGATCCTTGTATTGGAACCCAACCTTAGATTATCAATAGATGAGATTAAAGCTCATAAATATTTTGCAGAATATGATTGGAAAAAGGTAACTGAGAAACAACTTTCAAATATACCTTATAAGCCAAACCCTCTTAAATATAAATATCTTCTTCAAAACAAGTATCCTCCGATTAGTAGTGTAACTGGAGTGATGAATAATGATGAGGGTGAAGGATAGAATCAGCCTATTCCAGCTAAAATAGATAGTCCTAAGAAAAATCTCCTAGGAGATTTTACTCTATATAAGATCAATAAAGAATTTGAAAACTTTTGAATAGCTCACTTCTCATCTTTATTTGAGACCTTATTTAAGTTATTTCAAAGTTCTAATAATGATAGCTTATTATGGAACTTAAATTATAATCTTACTGACTTAATTTATCACAATTTATTTAATTAAATTTAAATTTAAATTAAAACTATGATGGAATCAAATGGGAAAAATATGAGTTTAAGAATGTCCTCAAAGAAAAGAAATCAATCACCTGGTGGAGAAATGAGGCGTTCTAATACTAAAAAGAAATCTGTTAAGTACTCGAAACTTCCAGAGGAGCCTGATCAATTTGAAGTGTAGAAGCAAAATATTGAAGATGAAATTGCTGAATTAGGAGTTAAATCATCTCTAATTGAGAAGAGCAAAATCAAAGAATAAAACCTTAGGAAACATGAAATATACGATAACACTTACTATATACCCAATAACAAAATAAGAGTGCTAGAAATACCGATGTCTTCCTCACTGACATTCTAGATGCTTGCCTATTATCACTTTTACTATGATTTGTTTTACTTAGTCTGCGTGTTTACAACTCAAATATATAAGTTTTGGGTAATGAAAACAGACATTATTGCTATAATGGCGCTCATCATAACTCTAATTTGGTTTCCTGTTGAACTTGCTAGATTGAATTTTGCATATAAAGGAAACATTAATGAAACTGTAAGTAATTTCAAACTCTTATTATTTTTAGTTCCCTGAGATGATTGCTTTTATCATTTTTACAATTTTCTTCATCATGCCATTCAGCATTGTACCGATAATATAGTCTTTCAAATTTCCACATGAAAATTGCATCTATATCATTAACTATGCGTTCATTGTTTTTGAGCTCATTTTCGGGTATGATTATACTTCTTATTAATATATAATGCTGTTTTAGTTTTGTTGTTATGTGTCGTTTTATGAATACTCAATCAGCTGCATTTTACCTAAGAACTGCCCCAATTATAGATAAAAATTTCATCCTCAAATATCAAAATTAGAGTGAAATTAAACTTTCAAGAGAAATAGCTCTTGGTGTAAGAAAGTATGACAGACTGCATGATACTACTGATATTTTTGAAGACTCTGATAAAGTAAGACTATCTTCCAAAAAAGTTCACGTTGAATGAGTAATATGAGTTCGTTGACTATAAATAAAGATTCAATACTAAAATTATAAACTTTACCATTTAATTTTTTCAATAGTTAGTTATTTATAAATTTCAACTATGCGGTTCGGGGTTTTGGGGTTTTGGGGAGATCGGA